GCTTCCATGGTGGGGGCAGCCCTGCTCAGAGCCGCATTCCCACAGCCCTTGGCACAGTTGGAGGGAATCTGGCAAACCTGTGCTGCTTGATGGACTGTGGGAAGTCCTGGGTCAGCCGCTGCCCCATGGCTGAGGGCACCTCTGCCTGCCAACTCCCTGATTTCTGACGCATCTTACCTGGCACCTTCTTCTTCTTCTTTTTATTCCTGGTTGGATTTTCTCTCTGGGGCATGTGATCCTCAGCATTTTTTTTTGCTCCACAGAAGGAAAAGAAGGGATGAGATTCTGCTGGCAGTATCTCAGCTCTGGTCAGTTGAGCTGTGTGGTTAATGAGAGTGTGTGTGCACATGCGTGTGTCCTAGGGTGGACCGGCAACCCTCCTTGCTTCCACTGGTCCTTCTACATGCCTACTGCTCTTACCCTCCAGAGAATCCACACCACCAGATGAGTAGGCCTAGAGAGATGAGGAAACAGAAAGAAACAAACAGCCAAGTGTCCTTTCTCCCTCTCACTGCACATTGTAGCTCCTGTATCTGTGATGGTGGAGGGGCCGTCTTGGGTGGGCAGGAGACTCATCTACCCACGAGCTGACGAGCCACTGGGCTTGACCCTTAAAGGCTGATGTACAGTCTTGGAGGATGTGTGAATGTGTATCCGTAAACCTTAGGAGCATCTGTTCATACTTCCTGAGAGTCTCTCCTTTCTCCAAGACTCCTTACAAGGCCTCTTATTCTTGACCCTCTACAATTGTTGTTGTTTAGTTGCTGAGTTGTGTCTGACTCTTTTGTGACCCCATGGTCTGTAGCCCACCTGGGTCCTTTGTCCATGGCGTTTCCCAGGCAAGAACACTGGAGTGGCTTCCTATTTCCCTCTCCAGGGGATCTTCCTGACACAGGGATTGAACCTGCGTCTCCTGCATTGGCAGGTGGATTCTTTACCACTGAGTCACCGGGGAAGACCGACCTCCTTGTCTCTATTTCCCTTGAATCCCCATTGCTTTTTATCTCTGCTTCTCATTTGCCACTTAGGTTTGTATGCCTTATACACAGGTTCCTAATCCTTCTGGATCCCAGAGGAAAGGGGTGACGTTTTATAAACAAGTTTCTTAGAGCCAGACATTTGACTTGCTGCTCTATGTACAACATCTCATCTTGTCTCAGCAGTTTGAATTTAGAAAAAATTATTTATTTGGCTGTGCCAAGTCCCAGTCGCAGCATGTGGATTGAACCAGAATCCCCTGCATTGGGAGCACGGAGTTCTAGCCACTGGATCACCAGGGAAGACTCAAGTTCTTTTTTTTTTTTTTAATCCCCATTTTATAGATGAAAAAACTGAGACTCAGAGAGATTAAATTGCCTATGGCTGGCACATGTCCATCTGGGTTTCCTCTGCAGATTTTGGCATGGGGTAGGGGTGCTTACACATGGGAGACGTGTGGGTTATCATCATGTGACACCTGGACGCTGCCATATCTAAGGGCAGCGCAGGTTGAGGGTGGGTCTGCAGAGAGTAAGGTGTAGTGAGTGACGCTTACAAAGACAGCAGGAAAAGAGGGCCTCACGGCCACAAGGTGAATACTGGCCTGGCGGCATTGTCCACGATGGCTGGGTGACCGAGTCCCTGAAGGGTCTCAGCCATCACCTCCTGCTACCAGATACCCCTCCCACCACCATGGGAATCAAACGGGCACACGCTGGGTGTTCATCCCTGCTTTCTCATTAAAGCTCCTAAATATGCTTCAGAGAATTTTCCTTCTAATGCTCAGCCAGGGTTCAAAGAAAGGTAAAGAAATTGTTTTTGAGATGGAGGAGGAAGAGCAACGTGCAGAGCAGTAATTTCAGAGTCTAGGGTAGGGCCCTTGGGATAGGGAAAACTTCAGGTGGGTGTGCAGAAATGTGTGAGAGGTAAAGGGCATTTGTGCAGCCAGAAGACCCAGGAAGTAGGAGAGGAGAGGGGGGAATTTATTTACACCAGACTCCAGCCACTGAGGGCTTCCCCCGGTGGCTCAGAGGGTGAAGAATCCACCTGCAATGGATTCCTGCAGTGGAGACCTGGGTTTGATCCCTGGGTTGGGAAGATCCCTGGAGTGGGCAACCCACTCCAGTATTCTTGCCTGGGGAATGCCCAGGGACGGCAGAGCCTGGAAGGCTGTGACTTTGTGACTCATGGGGTCACAGAGAGTCTGACACGACTGAGTGACTAAGCACACACCCAACTTCTGATTCAAGAATGCAGTCCTCATCAGGTTTGCGTCCTGTAACCTAAACTTTTATGAAGCCGGTTCCTTACACCCCCCAGTTCTAGGAATGAAGGTGTGAAGTCTTTTCTTTGAACTGCAGAGGCCCGAAAGACTGGCAAGATCAGCCCCCGGGTACCTTCCCCAGCTCCAATCCCCAAGCCTTCCTGGCCCAGGTTCGCTCACCCGCGAGGGCCACGCCCCCAAGCGGGCACCACTCAATGGCCCTGGGACAGGATGGACTGAGGGCCGATATGCCCAGGATGGGGCAAATGTGAGGCGTTCGGAGAAAACCCTCACCGCGACGATGCCAAGGTTGGAGAAGCCGCGTTCCTGCCTAAATCCGCAAGATGGAAGTTGCTCCCTCTAGCTTTTCTACTTGCGAAGCCCGCCGATTTTGTAAGTGACCCCACCCTTCGAGCCCAGGTCCATTTCTAGCATTCACGCCTCTCCAGAGTCTTGTTCATTTAAAAACGCATCTTAAAATGCACTAACATCTACATCTTCGGTCCAGCCCAGATCCGGTTTTGGGTAGCGCGTAAAGTTTACGAGGTACTGCCGTGTACCCCACCCCGGCACACGGGGTGCGCGCGGAGCTGCGTGCAGGAATGTGCGCGAGGGCGCTGGGGGGTGCGGGGCAGCTTTAGCGCAGCCGAGAGTGTCAGATGGGCGCCTGAAACTGGGGTGTAGGGTGTGCGTGGGTCTGCCCGCGCGTGTCCGAAGCCCACTGCCTCTCGCCCACTTGCCAGAACGTGCCAGCAGCCTTACTTCTGCTTCAGCCCTTTCCCAGCCAGACGCCCCTCCTTTTTGGTGCTTCTGAGCCTTTACTGTAAATCCCGTGCCTAAAACACGCCGGTGAGCCCGGCCCGTGGACAGATGGATCAATCGCCCCCTTCCCGGAAGGGGGAGGAGGGCCCACCTGGAGCCTCGGAAGCAGGGAGCTGCCGGCTGCCTCGGGAGAACTCCCCGGAGCCCAGCTCGCCGCCGAGCTTGGCGCGGAGACCTGCGTCGGTCCCGGGGCACTCCCATCAGGGTGGGGTGCGAGCCCGCATCCTCGATCCTTCCCGCGCAGTTCGTGGGAGGTTCGCCGGCCTCGGATGGGGCGGTCAGGACGCCCTAGCTCGGCAGCTTTCTTCCCGCACCGGGGGAGGGAGACAAGTGGGGAAGGGGGGTCTCGAAGGACTACGACGCTGGGGCGTGTGGGGGGCGAGGGCGCCGGGGGTGTGCGGGGAAAGTTCTCGAGCCCCGCATGAAGAGCACACGTGTATGCTGGCGCGGGGCTCGACCCGGGCAGGAGGCTGTGCGGGGACGCTGGCGGCTGGCGACGGAGGGGGGGTCCTTCATCTCCCTTGCGTCTTCGGGGAGACGCTCGGCCTCGGCTCCTGGGTCGAAGGACGCCCAGCGGATGGTGCGCCCCCTTCCCAGACCCGGACTCCAGCGGTTTTTTTTTTTTTTTTTTCCCTAGCGCCCTTCCCCCTACGCCCCCGGTTTGGCTCGAGAGCCTCGGACTCCAAACCCTCGGGCCTCCGCTGAACCTCCCCAGGGCCTCCCGGAGCGGGCTGCCCTGGCGCGGGGGCGGGGGCGGTGGGGGTGGGAGGGGCGCAGCCCGCTCCGGGCGGGGAGAGGAAGGGGCGTGGGGGCTGCCGCGCAGCGGCAGGAGCCGCGGGAAGAGAAAGGTGCGGAGGCTTTGGTGGGTTTGGGTTGAAGCCCGAGCCCTGGCCGGGGTAGCTGGTCAGTTTCCGGCCAAAGCTGCAGGTCAATCCGGGGAAGGGCGGGCGGCCGAGCAGAGGGAGCCGGCGGCGGAGCTCTCCCCTCGGCCCGCGTTCCCCGGCGCCACCGCCACCGCCTTGTCGCCGCCGCCGCTGCAGAGTGTCGCTGCTTCGCCGCGCGCCCGCGCCCCGCGCCGCCAGCGCTTGGGAGCCCGAGCGCCGAGCCCGGGGCGGAGGAGAGGGGCGCGGGCGCGAGAGCCGCGGCGAGGGAGCTGCGAAGGGGGAAGGGGGCGGGCGGAGGGAGGAGCAGGCAGAAGGGGGAGGGAGAGGAGAGCGAGGGAGAGCCGGGGAGAGCGGGAGCAAAGAGCGAGCGCCGGGGAGAGGAGAGGGAGGGAGAGGAGAGAGCGAGCCACACGCACGCAGAGACACACGGTCACCGGAATTCCATTAGAAAAAAGTGACACGAGCAGGGGTTAGCGGGAGATTTTTTTTGAATCTTTCCTTCGTCTTGTGCGAAAGAAGCGACTCGGGTCTCGCGTCCTCGAAGCTCCCACTGGATCGCTCCTAGGCGCTGACACCCGTCGGTGGATTTCTTTCTTATTTGCCTTTTATTCTGACCCCCACCCTCGCCACTTCCTTCCAGCCCTTCACTCTCAGATCGCGTCTCCCCCCACCTCCTCAGTCCCCTCCCGGGAAGCGCAGGGGAATCGGACCCGCGGGGACTCGCGCCTTCCCGGACTAGCCGAGGGAAGGGCAGACCTGAGGACCGGCTGTCGGCTTGAAGAGCACACACACACACACACAGATACGTGTGTATTTGATTTTAGTGGGCAAGGGGGGCGTCGAGACGCGGCCCACCGCCCTCCATTCCCCCACCCCCTCCAGCCGAAGGCGAGAATCGCAGGACTCAGGATCTTCATCTGGCGGACTAGCTGGGATCTCCGCATTGGATTTGGGGCTGATTATCACTGCTTGGCTATTATTATTGTTGTTATTATTATTATTATTTTTTATCCAAGGGAGAAAGACAGAAAAAACTGTGGGATTTATTTAACATGATCTTGGCAAACGTCTTCTGCCTCTTCTTCTTTTTAGGTGAGTACCTGCGGGAGGCGAGGACAGCGTGTCCGCGGGAGCCTGGGGGCTGCGCGGCCGCGCGCGTTCAGGCGACGGCGAGCAGCCTGGAACCTTGGGGGGCGAGCGGGGCGCTGGCGGGGTACCGACCGGTGGGACGAGCGCGCGGCGGGGCGAGCCGGGCCCGGCGCAGCTGAACCGAGCTGGGCCAGCGGCGAGGATGCGGGTGGAGGGACGCGAGCCGCGGCTGGCTGCGTACGCGCAGGTTTGGGAAGGAGACTTAGAACATCCAGACCATCCCTGCGCGCACAAACGCAGACATAGTCGCTCACTCACATGCAGTGATAGAGCTCATTTCTCTCAACATAGAGGGTTCAAATTGCGGCAACTTAAGAAAAAAAAAAATCCAACTCTTGATCTGGAAGAGAGAAGGGAGGGGACAGGCTCAGTGTCGGGGAGAGGAAAATCCTGCCATCCTACCTTTCCAGGCGGCTCCTCGAGCCGATCGTGGTGGAGGGCACGGGCTTCTCCAGGAGCTCCGGATGGACGTCTGTGGGGGCAGTCCTGGCAGCCACCCCCCCACCTGCCAATCAACCCCTGGAAAAGACACCCCGCTTCCCACTCTCCGAATTCCTTCCCCGCGGCTCCACTCCCTGGAAGACTTTTCAAGTTTCTCCCCTCCCTGCACCCTCCCTGCCGCGCAGACCCTAGCCATTTAGGTGGGCGGGAGTGAAGGGTTTGAGCCGCAGTTCACCGCCTTGTCTTTGCCACCTTTGGGGCTGGGGGACCCGGTAGCTGGTGGGAAGAGATGGGAGGGAGGCCAAAGTTTGCTTCCTTGGGTTAAGAAGGAGGGGGGCTGAGGGAAAACCTGGCCTGAACAAAGGCTATTGCTCATTCTGTAAGCCCTCTCCCCCAAGGGCAGGGAGGGAGGGCTGCCTGGGTGGCCCTGAACTCCGACTGTCTTTTTCCCACCCAGAATTCCCAATCCCTGGCCCCCTTTTTATGCTGCAAGAAATCTCAGCTGCTTGGGAAGCGGGTGTAGAGGGAGCGTTCTTGGGGGTGGAGGTGAGTAAAAGTGGGTGTTGGAAAGGCTGGTGCCGACCAGGAGTCCCAGGCACGGCTGCTGCCCCAGTAAGTGCTCCAGAGAGAGGGCAGGCAAATGGTGTGTGTGTGTGTGTGTGTGTGTGTGTGTGTGTGTGTGTGTGTAAGTAAGGACCACACGTTTGCTTCATTGTGGATGCTGCTCCTACCACCTTGGCCTGCTGTGTGGCCAGGGTGAGCCAGCCTGCCCAGATGGGTCACGAGAGCATCCTTTCCCTCCTTGAGGAGAGAGGGAAGGCCTAGGAGGGGGGTAGGTGCAGGCCACAGAAAGCCATGAGGGGTGTCCTAAGAAGTGTCTTGACTAGGACCAGGGATTCAAGTCCAGTCCCTGTTGATTGGGCCCTGGGCCTTCTGCAGCCCCACCTCCTCTTTCCCCTCCTGCATTCGTGGGGCCTTGGGGCTTTGGCTGGCTCTAGGGTGTGGCCTTCACAGTCCTGCCTCAGGGAGCCAGAGGTGGCTCTCCTCGGGATGGTGTTCTCAGGTGGGAGGGGCTGAGGGAGGAGGCTGGGATGATTGCTCTGGGCCCCACCGTGCTCCTGCAAGCCTTTCCCGGCAACCCTCTCACTCCGAAGGGGCCATTATAAAAGCTGACCTTTTCTCCCACGGCTGATTTGAAAACCCAGCTTTCTGGGGCCAAGAATGAGCAAGGCCAAGAAGAAAAGAAAATTGTATTTCAGGAAAAGCAGCCAGACTGCTTGCTTCTGAGCTGCACACACACCCTAGGCCAGCAGGGCTCCCAGGTGTAGATGATGGCCCCTCAGTCATCTCCAGGTCCAGCCCCCCAGCAGAGGTGGGGGGTCCCAGCCTAGGGGCCTGAGGAGAGACTGTCCTGAGCCTGTGGGGCGTGCCTGGGGTCCTGTTCAGAGATGGTCTCCCTGGTGTCTGTGACCCTGGTGGGGGTGGGGATGAGAGGAGGAAAAGTTGGGGGTGGGGGGTGGGGGGGTCACATCCTTTCAGTTCCTTTCTCTTGAGAAGCCCCTTCTCAAAGCTGGGGTGCATGTTGACTGAGTGACCACAGGACATTGAAAGGCTCTGTGTTAGGCCAGCCGAGAACGAGGGATATGTTGGTTGTTAAGGAAATTTCAGCCCTAGGGCCCTTGCCTGGCAAGGAGCCCACAGTTAGGAGTTGGTTGGAAAGTTGGCTTTGGGGAGAGGCTTTTCTGGAGCTTGAGAGGTGGGGTGGGCATTTTCAGTCGGGGATAGAGTGAAGCACGTTCCTAGGAGCAGGGGCCTTCGGTGTGTTCCTGCCAAGGTTCCGAGTGGGGTCTGGGCGTGGGCATGCCTTCCTGGCCCAGCCATCCTGACCTCCGGTGTTGACAAACTCAGAGAGAAAGTGAGATGGGGAAAGTGATGGCGGTGGGGACCGGGGTTGGTCAGAGGGCCCGCCTCCCACTGGCGTTCTCGCGCTCATCGGGGCATTTGATGGACCTGGACAGTTGTAGGTCTGTGTGGTCTCGCAGTCCCCGCTGTGTCTTTAAAAGCTGTTCCACATGTCTGTGCTTTCCTTGAGCGATCCGAGTTTTCTCCTGATCTAGAACTTGGAAACATCACCAGAATACCTTCCAACCTTTACTCACCTAGAATGCTTGGCCAGAGGCACCAGGTTGCCATGATTTCTTTCTCTGGCTGGACTTCTTGGTTCTGGGGGTCATGGCACCACTGAGAAGAGTCAGGGGTAGGTGGTGGTCAGGGAGTTTGGTTGGAAAACGCACTGACCCTCCTATGGAGCATCTCTCTGCCGGGAGCTGAAAGGAAGAGAGAAGCCCTTGCTATAGGCACAGGAGCCCAGGACTCTATAAGCATCGTCCCTTAGGGCTGTAGACCCACCTGTAGGGCAGGAAGGAAGTGTCCTTTCTGCCCCAGTTCCCTAGGCTCATGTGCTGATGCTTCAGCCTGGGGAGGAGGCCGCTTTCTCCTTTCATCTCTCACTGTGCAGTCTCAGGTAACACCAAAGTGGGAGGGGAGTCGCTCGCTGGGATGCTGGGGTGAGGAGAGTCAGTGGAAGGCCCAGGGCTGGGCCAGTCCTAAGGCTCCAGCAGCCTGGCTACCTGGTTGGCTAGGTGGGACAGCAGGTACAGGTGAGGCTGGGTCAACAGAGCTGATCCTCGAGGGCCCTGTTGCACCCGAGTCCTGCTTAGAGACCCAGGAATTTTCTGAAGCCTGGCAATAAAGCCCCCGCCTGGGCTTGGGCGGGAGGGCGCTTCTCCATCCTACCCTGGGAGATGCCTCACTGTCTGCCCACCTTCCATGCTGGTTTCTTTAGTGGTCTTGCTCAAGCCTGGCCATAACTGTCAGCTCCTCCCGTCCTGAGGTAGAGTTCTGGTGGCTGGAGAGGGAAAGTCTTTTGTTGTGGACCCTGAGGTTTTCCCCACCCCAGGCCCCCCCCACCCCGCCCCACCTCGGTGGGATAGGCCTGGCCCACCAGGAGTTCGTTCATAGTTGCCTATCCCCCTCCGTGGCCCTCTGGGTAGGGACAGGGGTGCAGTGCAGCACTTTGCCTCTAGGTGTCGCTGCCTCCCTGTGCTAGCTGCTCCCTGAGCAGGGCCTCCTGGGAGAAAGAAGTGGGAGTTCTGGGTCGAAATGGAGGAGATTCTTTGGGATTAGGGGATGGGGGAGACTTCTGCCTAGGATCTTATTATGTTTTGGGGCAGAATGGAGTGGAGGAAGCGCCCCCACTATCACTCTTCTGGTCTTGGAAAATTCAGTCTTGGCTCCGGGCCATGGCATGGCCTTTTTGTGGGGCAGGATCTGAGTGAGGGGCTTGGAGGGGACCAGGGGACTGGATGATGTCTGTTTGGGGAGCTTGCTTTCGGAAGGGCCAAGCGGCACTTTCTGTGCCTTTCCCCTCCGTATCTCCTTCCCCGACCCCTTCCCTTCCGAGGACGGTGGGTTTGGACACTGGAGGCCATGCTGGGGAGGGAGGGTCCATTTGCGAGGCCGGGGTCCGCTTGCAGCTGACTTATTAGTTGGCTTCTGGAAAGAGGGGAAAGAGAGACAGAGGGGAGAGGGTATCAAGGAAGGGTGGGGAGGAGAGGAAAGAGGAAAAGAAATGAGAGAAAGAGACAGAGACAGAGAGAGGTGTCTGCGGGAGTGGTGGGATGGAGTTGCTTGGCCCCCAGCGTTTTTTTGGGGGGGCTGGGGTGGAACTTGTCTCCATGGTGGATTTTGTCTCTGGCCACACTGTTGCAGGATGGTGTGGCGGGCCGGGTCTCCCAGAGGAATGCTTCCCTCTGAGCTCTCCTCAGACCACGGGGTCAGGCTTGTCTCTCCCTGTCTCCTTATGAAGTCTGGGGACTCAAAATGGATAGACTGGGGGTCAGAGGGGCCGTTTTAGCCTGTGTGTGACCTTGAGTTGTCACGTCCCTTCTTTGGGCCTCAGTTTTCCGAGGGTGGAATGCGGGGACTGATCTGGCCTTTGAGAGCCTAACAGGCTGTGAGAGTTAACCAGTCAGCCTGCTTGGTTCCTAGGGCAGACCTCTGTTTGGACCCGAGGTTGCTGGCAGGAGGCCTGGCTACTCTGAAACTGAGATCTCCCCTTGGCCTGCCCTAGGAGGCCCTGCAGCCGCCAGCTCTCTGCTGAGGCCGTGGGATCCTTCTCTGGACTCCTGGCATCTTAGACTGTCTGTGGTCTGGCTCGGGCCTCTGGCTCTTCTGGGCTGTGCTCCGGGGCCCAAGGCCGTGGAAGGAACCAGGAAAGGGTTGTGTAGGGCCAGGGCCAAAGACAGCTTTTCTTCTTTGGGGTCTGAGGAGAGATGGTGGTATCTTGGGCCCCTTTAGCAGCGCTCGCTCTGACCTGCTGGGGCGGGCAGCCTTGAGTCGGGCTCACCCTGCCGAGTAGAGCCGGTGTGGCTCTCCCAGAAGGGCCCCCAGGCCTGCCTCTGGGGTCGGAGACTGCGGCCCTCATTCACGCTTGTCTTCCCTCCCCACCACCCAGACGAGACCCTCCGCTCTTTGGCCAGCCCTTCCTCCCTGCAGGGCCCCGAGCTCCACGGCTGGCGCCCCCCAGTGGACTGTGTCCGGGCCAATGAGCTGTGCGCGGCCGAATCCAACTGCAGCTCCCGCTACCGCACGCTGCGCCAGTGCCTGGCCGGCCGGGACCGCAACACTATGCTGGCCAACAAGGAGTGCCAGGCAGCCTTGGAGGTGCTGCAGGAGAGCCCGCTCTACGACTGCCGCTGCAAGCGGGGCATGAAGAAGGAGCTGCAGTGCTTGCAGATCTACTGGAGCATCCACCTGGGGCTGACCGAGGGTAAGTCCTGCCAGGGTCCTGGGTTCAGCGGGAGGGCCTGGTAATGAGACAGACTGGCCAGCTGTGTCTCTTTCCACCTCCTGGGCAACCTAGCACCCAGAGGAGCTAACCATCTGACCTCGGTGGGCAGATGTTGTTGGAGAGACAGACGAAGGAGGAGGTAGGGAGGAGAAAGGGTCAGGGTGGTGGAATGAGGGGGGATGGGGGTCTGGATGGGGAGTGAACCAAGGATGGCTGGCTGGCTGTGTGTCGTAACAAGGGCAGGTGAGGCTAGAGTGCCCAGGTGAATGGAGAAGAGGACAGGAGAGAGAAGGGCCTGGCTGCGTGCGGGCGGAGCTGTGAGGTTTGCATGTGAGCAAACCAGCCCCTGCCACTCTCTGCTGCCCCTCTTCTGCCCGCCTGCTTCTGGTGGCTTCCTGACCCCTGGCCTGGCCTAGGCACCATCAGCAGGGATTGGAGGGCACTTGGTCCTCAGGTCCCAGAGCCCTAGGCAAGCTCTCCTCCAAGGTCCAAGGCCGAACCTGTAAGCCTCTCACCCACCAACCACCTCCCCCAACTCCTCCTCCTCCAGACTAGGGTGTGGAGGATTTGCAGGCCTCCTGGGTCGGACATTCATTTATTAATTCAACAGGTGTTTACTGAGAGTTTCCTGGCTGCTAGGCGTTAATAGTTGAGAGCAGCTGGGGCTGCGTTTGCCTTTGTGGAGCTCCTAGTCTGGGGGAGACACAGATAAGTCAGGGACTCGTTTGGTGATGTAGTGAGTGCTGTCGGAAAGCACTGGGTGCTCTGGAAGAGCCAAAGAAGGGCATCTAACCCCTTTTTGCAAAATCTAGAGAGCCTTCCTGAAAGAGGCGGCCTTCAGGCTGAGACTAAAGAGTGAGGCGCAGTTACTTCATGAAGGCACGCGGGGAGAGTGTGGGAGGTGTGGGACAGAGTTTGGGCAAAGGGTGGCGTATAATGCAGGTTAGCCGACCTTCCTTACAGACATGCAGGTAACTCAGTGGTGCAAAGTTGCTTTAGTCATGTCTGATTCTAGCCCACCAGGTTCCTCTGTCCATGGGATTCTCCAGGCGAAAATATTGGAGTGGGTTGCCATGTCCACCTCCAGGGGATCTTCCCGACTCAGGGACTGAACCTTCATCTCTTTTGTCTCCTGCATCACAGATGTGTTCTTTACCACTACCGCCGCCTAGAGGCAGGTGGAAGTGGGGATGGAGGAGGAGAGATGGAAGGGGTTTGGATCTGGTGAGCTGCACGCCTAGGAGGTTTTATGTGATGATCTTGGCTTCAGGACAAAGTTCATGTGGTTCCAATAGGAGAGCAGATTGGAGAGACTGGAGGCCACTGCTGTGGTGCAGGCTAGGAACATGGAGGCTGAACGAGGACAGTGGTAGGAAAGAAGGATCCAGGAGCTGCCCAGGCGGTGGAATCAGCAGGTCTTGCTGAAAGGCCGGAGGAGTCAGGGAGGGCCCCCACTCTTCTGTGTGGGGCGGCTGAGTGGCTAAGGGGGCCTGTCGTGGCAAAGGTGTTGAGTCGGGGAGGGCTGGAGACGTGCATTTGTTTTGGGGTACATGCCCCTCATCGGCCCTGCCCTATAGACAGCTGGGCGTGCAGAGCTGGGGCTCAGGTGAGGAAGGGGGAGTGGACATAAGGATTGAGAAGTCGTGAGCACGGACTTCCCTGGAAGTGATAAAGACTCTGCCTTTCAATGCAGGGGGTGTGGGTTTGATCCCTGGTTGGGGAACTGAGATCTCACATGCTGCAGAGTGTGGCCAAAAATAAATAAAAATGTGGTAAGTCAACTACAATAAAAAATAAAAAAGAAGTCACCAGCAGCCTGCGGGTGGTAACTGGGGCCAAGGGATTGGGTACAGTCACGTTAGGAGGGGGTTAGGAACTGAGCTACTGGGATCACTGCCATTGAAAGACAGGCTGCAGGGGTGATGAGGAGGCTCTGGGGGTGAGGTGGGAGGGAGCCCCTTGGGAGGAGCTCACTCTCAGAAAGAAGGAGGATCAACAGCCTCCAGGACTTCAGGCCCAACGGGAGAGGGATGGAGAGTGTACCTGGTGCCCTTGGGGTGAGCACCTTAGGTGGCCCCTGGGAGTAGGAGCCTGCTTAGGGGGGTGCCTGGGTAGGAGCCTGCTTAGGGGGGTGCCTGGGAGCTGGGGAACTGGAAATGATGACTGTGGACGACTTCTTGAATTCTGGTGTGAATATAAAGGGCTTCCCAGGTGGCTCAGTGATAAAGATCTCACCTGCCAATGCCGGAGACAAAAGAGACGTGGGTTCGATCCCTGGGTGAGGAAGATCCCCCGGAGGAGGGCGTGGGAACCCACTCCAGTGTTCTTCCCCGGAGAATCCCACGGACAGAGGAGCCTGGCGGGCTGTAGTCCATGCGGTCACAAAGAGAGGACACGACTGAAGCCGCTTAGCAAGCATGTGAAGATAGAGAAGAACAAAGGATGCCTGTTTTTAAAAAGAGAGAGTCGAGTAGTTTAAATTCTAAAGTAGGACAGGAGCGATGGAGAGGCTGAGGTGAAGAGAGAGGGGTGGGATGTGGAACTGTGTGCTTGGGGGAGGGGAGATGTCAGCCTGGACTCTGAGGGTCATCACCCCGCCTCCCCTGCCCAAGCTGCTGGAGGGGCAGGAGGAAGCTGGGCCCAGGCTGGAGCCTGGATAGTGTTGGGTTCCTGACCAGTGGCTCAGAGGTTTCAAATTTGCCCTGAAATTAGGAGTAAACAGGCTTGGAATGATTAACAGTATTACCACCATTAGTAACAAAGTAATTCGTCATGAGCTGAGTGGTGACTTCTCTGTTGCTGGCAACCTGGAGTCCTAGAGCTTGCAATTAGCAGAGAGAGGGAACTCGCCAAAGTGAGGGGCGCTCTGTTCTCTGTGAGACAAGGAGCTGGCTTCCCTGACCCTCCCAGGCTGCCTCGTGCACAGAATGTACATTGATCACAAAAAAGACTTAATTGTTTAACTTCTTACAGAACTCACATAACAGAAACTGACAAATCCATGTTGCTGTTTAGTTGCTCAGTCATGTTGGACTCTTTGCGACCCCATGGACTGTAGAGCTTCAGGTTCCTCTGTCCCTGGGATTCCCAGGCAAGAATACTGGAGTGGGTTGCCATTTCCTTCTCCCTGTGCAAAGAACAGTCAAGGCCCCGATTCAACAAGCTGGTTTGTTTAGGTTTTTGCTTTCTTTCCACAGCATTTAGTTTCAACCCAAGGGAGACTGGGCAGAAGGTGGGTGGGCTTGCTATAGGTGCAGAATGGGAAGGGAGGGGATAGAAGAGTTTAGGGCTAGAGAGCTGGGTGGGCCACTGGAGACCCTTCCCATTGGACTGGCACCCTTGGCATCACCACATCAGTGCACTGGGGACCTTGCTTGGAGCCGGGCGGTGAGGTGTTTTGATGACAACAATAAGCATAGTATGCATTTTATGCTGCCTTCTGCCATGTCTTCAAGACCCTTTTAACCCAGGAGGGTTCTGACTGTAGAGTCTCTGGATCCCAATGCTTGAGATGGTTTGTTGGTTCATTTACTCAACAAACATCTGTTAAACACCCACGGTGTGCTTCCGAGGGCAAGAGCACCGAGGAAGCCATGGGCCCTGTGTGGGCACCTACAGTCTGGGAGGCCCTTCTTTGGGTCCACTCTAGAAAGTCAGGCCCCTGCTTTTCTCCTTCCTCAGAACCATGCTCCCTGCCCCTTGCAGGCTGCTCAGTCCTCTCCCCTGGGTCTTGGGCCAGTGGTTTCTGTCCAGGGCTGACTGGGGAACCCAGAGGCCTTTATTAATAACAGCAGGTGGCGTTCCTCTGAGGGACAGAGTCTTCCAGAGAGGGGACTCTTCCTGGAGTGGGAAGAGTGGTCTCCCGAGAAGATGCAGGCACTTCCTGTTCCTTGTTTGTGTGCGTGTGCTAAGTCACTTCAGTTGTGTCCAACTCTTTGCAACCCTGTGGACTGAGCCCACAAGTCTCCGCCATCCTTGGGATTCTCCAGGAAGGAATACAGGAGTGGTTGCCATGTCCTCCTCCAGGGGGTCTTCCTGAACCAGGGATCCTTAACATTCTTGATAACCTGACTTGGGCCTGGGTGGGTGAAGGGATCTAGGAGTGGAGAGACTCACGTGGGTTTGCACTTAGATTCTCGCTTCTCCAGGGTCCTTACTGGTTGATGCAATTCCTGGAGACTTGGTCCAACCTTTTGCCTCTGAGAGGGAGGCCCTACCTGTCACCTCCCCACCTGAGGCTGAGCTCATTGCATGGACTGAGGACCTCGGCGTGTGGGCAGAGCTGGGAGCTGAGCTGTCTCTCAGTCCCAGCTGCCAAGGGCCTCGAGATCATTCTAGCAGGAGGCTGAGATGCAGAGAGGTGTGGTAAGCCTCAAGGGGCACACAGCAAGCTGCTGGTGGGACCAGGCCCCTGACTCCTCTAGTAGACCCCTTTCTGCTGTCCTGGAAAGCAGAGACATCACTTGGCCAACAAAGGTCCATATAGTCAAAGCTGTGGTTATTCCAGTAGTCACGTATGGATGTGAGAGTTGGACCACAAGGAAGGTTGAGTGCCAAGGAATTGATGCTTTCAAACTGTGGTGCTGGAGAAGATTCTTGAGAGCCCCTTGGACTGCATGGAGATCTAACCAGTCTATCCTAAAGGAAATCAACCCTGAATATTCATTGGAAGGACTGATGCTGAAGCTGAAGCTCCAGTACTTTGGCCACCTGACACGAAGAGCCGACTCATTGTGAAAGACGCTGATGCTGGGAAAGACTGAGGGCGGAGGAGATGGGGGTGACAGAGGATGAGATGGTTGGATGGCATCATTGACTCAATGGACATGAGTTTAAGCAAACGCCAGGAGACAGTGAAGGACAAGGAAACCTGGTGTGCTACAGCCCATGGGGTCACAAAGAGCTGGACACAACTGAGCTACTAAACAGTGACCGCTGCCCTGGGGGAGAGCTGTGGCCTTGGGCTTGTTTTCCCCTCTGCTACAAATGCCCCCGTAATCACCAGTATTTACGTGGGGGTGGGGGGAGGGATGTCACTGTTGGCTGCACGGGGCACTTGAGACCATGCTTTTTGCCTCCTCCAGTGGCAATGCTGCGTTTAAAGGTCATCCTGGTTCTGCAGATGTTAAGTGCACAGGGTTCTCCCTACATGTCCTCTCTCAGCTCATGGGCTTGGAGTCTGACATCCCAGGTTTGACTTTAGTCTTGCTGCCAGGCAGGCCTCAGGTTTCCCCATGGTGAATTCTGCTGCAGGAGCAGGCAAGGAGAACTGATTTAAATAGGATGGGCCCCTCCCAACCAGTCATGGAAGAGGCTCTTTTTCCCCAGAGATCCATCCCCTGGGCCGATCAGTCATACTAGCCCATCTGTACCCAGGCACAGTGCTGTGTCAGATGCGGTAGGGAAGGACAGACCCTGCTGTAGGGAAGTGGGCCAGCCAGGAGAAGACGGCTCTGTGAAAAGTTAAGCAAGAGTTGTTTAGTCGCTCAGTTGTGTCCGAGTCTTTGCGGTCCCATGGACTGCAGCATGCCAGGCTTCCCTGTCTGTCACTGTTTCCCTGAGTTTGCTCAAACTCATGTCCATTAAGTTGGTGATGCCATCCAACCATCTCATCTTCTGCTGCCCCCTTCTTTTGCCGTCAGTCTTTCCCAGCACCAGGGTCTTCTCCAATGAGTCGGCTCTTTGCATCAGGTGGCCAGAGTTGTGGATCTTCAGCCTCAGTCCTTCCAATGAATCTTCAGGGTTGGTAGTACTTGTTTAAGAATTTGGTTTCGATAACACTTTTTATTTTTGGAGGTAGTATTCATACTGGTTAAGTACTTGGACTCTGGAGCCAACAGCCTGGGTTTGAAAGCTAGCTCTGCCACTCACCAGCTGTGTGGCTTGGGCAAGTGCTGTGGCATCTCCATGCCCCAGTCCCTGATCAGAAAAATAGGGAGAATAAGAGTGCCTAGCCCCTGGGGAAATTAAGAGGATTAAATGAGTTAGTACATCTAAAGCACTTCTAATAGTGCTGGTATGAAGAAAGCACAGCATAACCTTGTCGTTCTTACAAAAGCGCTTCCAGAGTTCTCTCGTTATTTGTTTGCACCCGCTAGCACGGCTGGCATGCCAACCCCAGGGAATTTCTCCAGTGTTGGTGGGCAGACGGGAGAGCTTGCTGAGATCTTGCAAGCCCGTGATGGCCCTGCAGGCCCCGGGGGGAGGTGGGATTGGAGACAGGCTTGGACAAAGGAGTCACCTTTGGATTAGGCAGGTTCCAGTGGGCACCCCCTGTGCGTGAGGCGCCCTGTATGCTGGCTCAGGCGAGGCCTGAGGGTGCTCTTGTGAGGTACAGTGGAGGGTGGGGCCACTTCTCCAGGGGCATGCTCTTCCTTCATGCCCTCTGGGGGAGGGTCTGTACCCTTTTTTGGGAGGGTCATCCTCATATAGTGGAGAGATGCCTTGTCCCTGGACCAGCAGAGAGCTGGTCAGGGGCTAGCCTGTGGGTGACTTTGGGGCCTGGCTGAACAAGCAGATTCCAAGACCGCCCTCCTGGAGCCTGGCCCCTTCCTGCAGGTGGCCCCCAGGGGTGCCACCCCCATGGACTTCTCTTTAGGTGGTGAGCTTGCCTGTGGCCGTGGGGCTCAGGTGGACAGGAAATCAATGTGTGAGGCTGTGGTCATCACCTGTCTCCCCTGCCCCCTCCGCATGCACACACACTCTGAGTGATTATCCATTGATTTCTCCTCACCATCATGTCCGTCTCGAGGATCTTCCCTTTCCTGCTGAGTCACTGGTGGAGGGGGCAGGAGTCCCGCTGAGGTGGTGGTGGGTCTCCAGGGCAGTCACCCGCCATTTATCTGCTGTCACTCATTCACATCCTCGAGCCTCTTGTGCACCCCAGAGCCTGAGGGAGAGGCAGCAGGTCAGGGGGAAGACAGGTCAGGAGGCATACAGGAGTCACTGGTCAGGCCTCAGCCAGTCACTCCTGGTGACATGGTGGGAAACAATGAGGAAATCCTGTCCCCTTAAGCTGGGGTATGGGCTTCCCAGGTGGCTCCGTAGTAAAGAATCTGCCCACCAGTGCAGGAGAGGTGGGTTCAATCCCCGGGTTGGGAAGTTCCCCTGGAGAAGGAAATGGCAACCCACTCCAGTGTTCTTGTCTGCAGAACCCCATGGTTAGAGGAACCTGGTGGGTTACAGTCCGTGGAGTCGCAAAAAAGTCAGACATGACTGAGGATGCATGCACCCAAGTAAGCCTGGGCAGAGCCAGCCTGGTGTGATGGGAGAGGATGTTAGTGTCAGGGCCAGGTAGCTCTAGGTCTGCCTCGAGGAGCTGTGTGATCTCAGGCAGGTTGCTTCACCTCTCTGGGCCACGTCAGAGCACTCTCCTGTGAAATGAGGAAGTTGTACTAAATGACCTGGGATTTGTACAATACCTGGCCTTCCGTGGGCTATCAAGGTTCCACCTCCCCCGTGTCTTCTTTCTAGAAGCATACGGAAGTCCTTACAAGAGGCCGGGGCATGTGGGGAGTCACGAGAGAGCTGTATCGGGCAGTCTGATCTGCTCTGGTTGGAGAGAAATACCTCACCCACATCAAGTGTGCAGCGCTTTGGGCAGGATGTGAGCCTGGCCTGACACGGTTCTTTCTTCCAGGCGAGGAGTTTTATGAAGCCTCACCCTATGAGCCGGTGACCGCCCGCCTCTCGGACATCTTCAGGCTTGCTTCAATCTTCTCAGGTGAGTGGGCTTGCGCTGGGGCCTTGCCAGTCCTGCTCAGGTCCCCTGGGGCTGGCAGATCGAACCCTGGGGCTTGGGCGAGATGTCCGCTCGCCAGGAAGCCCCTGAACGCCTCCAGGCCTGGGGTCTGCATCTGTAAAGAGAACACCATGACACCTTCCCCCCTTCTCCTCACCACCACCAAGGTTGTGTGTGGCCTACAGCATTTATGGGAATGGCCTAGAATGACCTGCCATGCTGGAGGTCTTGAATCTGACATCTGGTGTGGCTTTCCCATTTTGTCACTCATCTTGCCTGGCGGGGTCCTTCCCAGCTGTTCTGCTTTGGTAAAGTTGCTCAACCTCTCTGTGCCTCAGTTTGCTCTTTGGAGCAGAGGGGAGGGCAGCTCCCTTGTTGGATGGTTGTACGGTCAGAATGAACCGATGGTTGACCTGGGCTCAGCATGCTGCTGGGCTTGTGGGAGCTGTTGGTTGAGGTGGCCTGTGTTCCTGTCACCATTGTCCATTCTGTTGGGAAACTCTCGTCTCCCCTGGGGGCTCTGCTTCTGAAATCCCTCTGAGGAGAGCCTCTGCTCCCTGGCCGCTCCTGCCTCGGACTGCCTAGGAAGGGAGAAGGCTCATTTGAGCTCCAGTTTGCTTGCCATGGTCTGTGTGTAGGAGCCCTGTGAGTTTTTTTTGGTTCTTTCTTCTTGACCTTGTTCCCTCTGGCTTTTGGGTGAGCAATGGGCCTAGGGCAGCCTACCCCTACTTGGGCACTGGGGAGGGCCTTCTGGTCTTGGAAGCTGGGATGAGCTTCCTGGAGTCACCAGTCATGCTTAGAGGGGACCAGGGTGGGCTTTCTCACCAAGACCTGTGAGTGTAGGGCCCCAAATCTCAGGCTTCTAGGCACTTTGTGACAGTATGTGAAACCTTCCGAAGTTTCTTTTGCACTAAACCGAGGTTTCTCAACAGCAGCGCCGTTGACATTGACCTGGGTAATCCTCTTTGTGAAAGAAGCTGTCCTGTGCACGTGTGGTGTTTAGCTACGTCCCTGGCCTCTACGCACTGGATGCCAGGAGCAGCCCCCCAAACTGTGACCACCCCATGCGTTTCCAGACACTGCCACTTGTCCCGTGTGGGGCACAGTCACTGCCAGTTGAAAAGCACAACTCTAGACTGTGAAATGAGACTCTAGGGAGACCCTTGGCCCTTTCCAATGAAGAATCCTCCAGGACAGTGTTTCCCAAACTTTTTCTTTTTTTCATTGTTGCCCCTTTAAGGAGAAAAATTAATTCTAAAGAGAGAAATAGTCTCAGTCTGCTGGGGCTGCCAAAAAAGAATATCCTAGACTGAATGGCTTAAATGATGAAAGTCTATTATCTCACAGTTCTGGAGGCCGGAAGTCCAGGGTCGAGGTTTCTGGCAGGTTTGGTTTCTGGAGAGGGCTTGCTTCATGGTTTGCAGACAACATCCTTCTCACTGTGTCCTCACAGTGGGTGTGGGGGATTGGAGCAGGGAGATAGAAAAGAGGAGAGGGGAGAGAGAGAGAGAGAAAGAGAAAGAAAGACCTCTTCCTCTTCTTATGAGGACACTAATCCTATTGGACCATGGCCCCACCCTTATGACCTCATTTAACCTTAGTGAACTCCTAAGAGCCCTGTCTTCAAATACAGTCACACTGGGGGTTTAAGGCTTCAGCATCATTAATTTGGGGTGGGGACACAATTCAGTCCATAGCTAATGCCAAGTAATAAAATTTTGTCAGATAGGCTTGAGGTCTGGAGGGCCACATGCCACTGTCATATCTCCCCCCCCACCCCCTTTTTTTTTTGCTTACCCAGGAGCCCATTTTTGCTCCTTTAGGGCTGATACCCTCCTTTTCTCTCGAGAAGGCATGCTCTAAGGGATTAAGAGGTGGGGATACACATGTGCCTGGTGGGAGAAATCCTGGGACCCATGAAAAGGGAGGCAGTGGCGAAAGACTAACCATTTGGCTGTGCCCTTAAGCACTGGTATGGCGGGGGTGGCGGTGGATGGAATGGTGACTTCACTGGTGGTCCCTGCATGGAGCGGCCTGCCCTGGGCTCTCACTCTCACACCCCGCGATGGGGTGATGGCAGAGGTACCCATCTTGTTGTCTCTGTTTATGGCTTTGTGATGACTCTGTGATGAGTCTTGCCCATCTCTAAGGGGCTGAACTCGCTGATGGACTGACTGAGGCCCCACCTGGCACAGACATTTGCTTCTCACATCTCTTGATTAGTTTCAGATAGAAAACCACCTTGGGCCACTCTTTTGGAGGCAGTACTCGGGGCCTCCAGCAGATTGAGGAGGTGGGTGGCATGTGGATGCTGTGATGGGGAAATGCTAGCAGCCTCACCTACCCGTTTCCCACCCCACGCCAAGCTGGGGTGCCACTGCCTGGGCGGGAGCCATTGGATTTACCTCCAGGGAAGAAATGGCTTTGGCTTGCTCCCTGGAGGTTGAAGGTCAGAGGTCCTCACCGGAGCTGGGACCGCCACTGTCTCCTGGACTGACACTAAGCATCTTCTTGGCAGAAAATCTTTCTGTAATGGATTTGGCATTCTGCGGGACAAGGAGGTTGACAAGACAAATGAGGAGATTGCTGGTCTGCAGCTCACTCAATCAGCATCCTTTACCTGCTGCTCAGACATAACTGGGCCCTGCACGACCCTGGATCCCTGGGCTCTGGGGACCACTCCCCATGGTGAGGGCAAGGCTCCCCCCCTATTGTCCCCGCTGCCCCTGCTTCACCCAGAGCAGCTCTCAAGTTGGTGCACGGGTGACTCTATCTGAGGGAAACCTGGCCACCAAGAAACCAAGCAGACTGTGGTGGGGGCACACAGCAGAAAGAAGGCTGAGTGGGGAGCTGGGAGCCTGATTCCAGCGCAGTCTCTGCCACAGTTCAGCTGATGGGCTTGGGAGGTCACTTCCCTGCTCCAGACCTTACGTCTCTTTTCTGAAGAAGGAAGGTGTGAGCTTAGAGCTGGCTTGACCTCATCCAGGCGCACAGACGACGGTGGTGGTGTTTGACATCTATAGGATGGAGTAGAGCAGATTGGAGCTCAGATGGTCGTGGCCATTGCTTGGCTGTCCAGGAGGCTGAGAGGTCAATACCTGAGCAGGTGTATGACCCACCTGTGGCTCGCTGGCTGGGGAGGCCCGGCCTGGGAGACCCCAGGTCCTGCACTGATGCTTCAGGATGATAAGGTTGCCACCCAGTACGGTTGTATGGAGCACTGCCCCCTACCCTTCCACATGTTTATATGTGGCCTTAGGTGGTCCCCTCCACCATCTTGATGTGGAAAGGCTGTGGTGAGGGGCAGGACTGGGAGTTCTGCAGGCTGTAATCCTCCCGTTCAGAGCCCAGGGACTTGGGGGAGGGTGCTCTTGTGTCTCGGGCTAAGTGGCTCCTGTCCCCTTATTTGTTTATTTTTGGCTGTGCTGGGTCCTTGTTCCTCTGCACGCTGTTGTAGTTCCTCCCCCTCTGGCTGCGGCAAGTAGGGCTACTTTCTAGTTGTGGCGCACGGGCTTCTCAGAGGTCGCAAGGGGTGATGCGAACAGTGAGGGAAAGGAAATGCTTCGTCTACATGGGGCGAGGCCATAAAAGTGAGGACGAAGGGCCGGGGTGGGCCCGGCAGTGGCTTCCCTGTTGGCCGCTGGGCCATGCCCCAGGACCAGGGGGAAGCAGCAGGCAGGGGCCTTGCCTGGGCTGTCAGTGGCGCTATCTGTGTTCCTGGTGAGGCCGGGGGCCTCCAGGGCCTTGGGAACCTGATGCAGGTGTTGCCAGGTACGTGGGTGCAGCGTAAATTTATGCAAACTTGTCTTTCCTATAGTTGGAAGGGGACTTAGAGATCATCTAAACCCACCCCTTATTTGGCAGAAGGGAAACTGAGGCCCCAAGTGAAGGGGCGTCTACACCGGGACTCAGCCCTGCTTTTCCCCCTGCCCATCATGTTCCTCAGACTTCCTCCGGTGTTTCAGTTCTAAGCCTTGGTTTCTTACACAATGCTGGACTGATGGCAATGCCTACCTGCTCAGGTTTTAAATCCCTTGGACAGAAGACAGCAACAATAAATGCAAATATCTGCTATTAAATTTGGGCTTCCCCAGTGGCTCAGCAGTAAAGAACCCACCTGCCAATGCAGGAAACATAAGAGACGTGGGTTCGATCCCTGGGTCAGGAAGATCCCCTGAAGGGGGAAATGGTAAACCGCTCCAGTATTCTTGCCTAGCAAATCCCATGGACAGAGGAGCCTGCTGGCTTACAGCCCGTCGGATTGCAAAGAGTTGAACACAAGTTGGTGACTAAAGATCAGTGAACTGAGAAATTGCGTGTGGGTTCCTGGCCCAGCACCTGGACGCTGGGCTCAGACATGTAGCTTCCGGCCCGGAGAATCCCATGGACTGTGTAGTGCACGGGGTCGCAAAGAGCCGGACACGACTGAGCACCTTTCACTTCTTACAGCTGACAGTGCACGGACTTCTCCATGGCTGTCGGCGGCTCAGGCAGGGTGGCCTGGAGCCTGTTTATGGGAGGTGGTTGCATGGCTTTTGGTGATATGAGGCTCCCTCCACCCATGTTCGTGCTGCGTGGGGGCTGCAATGGGAGGTGGCTGGGCGATTTTCAGGGGGCAGTGGGTCCCTGGGGCGCCTGCTGGGCCTCTGTGGCCTTAGCTCACTGTGATCAGGTGGGAACATGGTGGCTGGTGCGAGGCCTGGCTCGGGCCTTCTGTTCGTGGTTAGAGGAAGAAGTGATGCGTGTGACAGTGTCAGTTGGCTGTGAGCCTCTGGGGTGGGCCGTCTTGCTTGGATGGAGTCAGGAGAGGCCTGAGGATGTTCTTTTTTTTTTTCTAAGAAATTTGTTTTGTTTTGTTTATTTGGATATAGTTGGTTTATAATGTCGTGTTAGTTTCTGCTGTATAACAGAGTGAGTCACCTGTATGTATACATATATCCCTTCCCTTCTGAGTCTCCCCTCCCATCCTACCCACCCATGTA